GTGCCAAATCAGACTGTTGAAGAGGATGAAGACAAATTGATGGCTGTGGATGTATAGCGTTCTTCTTGGGGTGTTGAGATTGAGCCGTAGGGTGTCGTGGAAGCCATTTCATAAAGACATAAGAGAGAGTGAAGAAAGACACTCGTATCTTCACAACTTCAAAACCAAATTGAGAAACCGACTTAATCTCCCCGATCTTACTGTTTTTAAGCTCTAATTTAAATTTAGACAAAAAATTCTTTAAAAAAAATTTTCAATAAAACATTTCCCATCTTTACCTTTTTTATACTTAAATTTAAATTTAGATAAAAATAATCTAAAATATTTTTTCAATACTAGACTTATACCCATACCAAATAAATAAATAAAAAAACCTTTTTTTAAACCCAAAGAGAAAAATTTTTAAAGCTCAAATCTTTAATGGTGAGATTTTATCATCTTTTAATGGGTAACCATATCAAATCAAGGGATATTTTTTTTACCCAAATCAAGGAAAATTCAAATACATACTCAAATCTTTAATTGAGAGATTTTATTCTCTTTTAAAGATCCAATAATCATATTTGATGAACCCGAAATTAACTGGGCCAGGCCCAACGAATCAAGAGAGACCCACATCATCTCGAAGCCCAAGTCATCAAGTTAAGAAGGAGCCTAAGACACCAGGCCCAAAGGGAGACCAAGAGACCAGCGCTCGAAGAAGACCCCAAGAGGTGCCACCCAAGGAGGCCACCCCAAGGGGACCCCTGCTCTCCTCCATGCCATGCTCTTCCCTTCTCATATAGGTATCGCCTTAATGGTCTCTCTCCTCACTTGGTCTTTCCAACTCAACTTCAACCCAACTCAGGATCTTCCTCTAACGGAATAGGTACATGAGGGAAAGAATATCGGGATAAGGAGATCTAATCATACCATAACTGTACTTACCAAAATAGTGGAAGACCTCTCCCTCACCTCACCGGCTCACCACCTTTGTAAATCTATATAATGCAAGCTCTCTCCACAAGGAGAGACATCTTCACATCACCTTTTGGGGCCTCTACATCTTGAGATCTCTACACATACTACACCTTCCTACACACTTTGCTCTCTCTCTCTCCTAAAAGCATTGTAATACTCCTGGAGAATACTCTCTCCAACAATTTCATTCATTAATAAAAGACTCAGGTCATCGCTGCCATTCCCAAGAGTTGAGTAGGTCACCCGGGTCGAACCATTATAAATCTCTATGTTGTTTCTTTATTTACAACTTTATTATTAATTGATTGTTTACTGCTTATTGATTGTATCCGTACACATCCTTGACTGTTGATTTTGTGCAATACCAATTTGTGCTTCATCAGTTTGACGTCGTTTGTGGGAAACGACTAATTTCCTACTCCTTTTTAATCCATGTCAATCACTACTAGATGGATGAGTCAAAAATTGGGAGACAACAACCCGACTCACCGGGAGGAGGCTCTACTTCCCCTTGCATTCTCAGAACCATCTACTACTACGATTTGACAATAGCAACAGCTCTTACAGACTATGTAACTGTTGGAAAAATAAAATCAGTAGATCATTCAACTGATGCTCGGCTAGGGAGGTCCCACCCCTCACCCTGTAGGAGGAGTACCACTCCCTCCAACAGGAGAGGAGTAGCAACCCATCCCTTCTGGGTGCCAAACAGCCTCTAACAATGAGACAACTAGCTAGAATGCTCCAAGGCTTCTACCAGATCGATAAGTCAACAACCAGGAGACAACAACCCGACTCACTAGGAGGAGGCTCCACCTCCCATTGCACCTTCAAAACCATCTGCTACTATGACTGGACAACAGCAACATCTCTTACAAACTATGCAACTGCTGGTAAAACAAAATAAGTAGATCATTCAATTGATGCTTGCCCAGGGAGGCGTTGCCCCTCACCATGTAGGATAAATACTACTCCCTCTAGTAGGAGAGGAGCATCAACCCATCCCTTCTAGGCGCCAGACATCCACTAACCATGGGGCCCTTCGCTAAAATGCTCCAAGGCCACATCAGGACGCCCCTCGCCCGGCAGCCCCTCTTCAGCGCACAGGGAGCGCACGTGTACCCCATTCACACATACCTGCACAAGAGAATGAAGATGGAGAAAGCTAATATGGTGATCATGAGAGCCAGTACTGTGACGCCCCTAAAATCGGGGGTCCTTTGTTAAATTGTTGATTACCCATCAACCCGTGGAACCACCCGTGGATGCCGCTCAATCCGACATCACAATATCACATCCCCTTTACTTAGATGACAAAAACCCATAACTTGTATACTTTTAATTCAATTGACCCATCCGAGGTCCAATATACCCTAATAGGGTCCATTTACACCTTTTGAAATGAGGGAACGCATAGCCCAAAAATATGTCAAAGCACTTTTAAAATTTTAGATTTTTGAATGATCTATTGGTAGGTTTGCATGGACCTACCGGTAGGTTTGATCCATTGGCAAAGTTCTATTAAAATATCAAATTTTTAGAAAATCTACCTATAGGTTTTGTCTACCGAAAAAGTTCTATCGGTAGGTTTAAGTTCAACTGGTAGGTTTTGCCCACAATTGCCTGTTTCATTTCCAAACCAACCCAATCCCTTCCACAACCATCCAATTCAAGTTTAATAGAGTTTTTCACAAAAGCATGATACTTACAATTTCTATTACATACAATTCCACATATTTACACATCAAAATGGAATTTTCATAAAGGTTTTACAAAATGAGCAATAAAAGCCACAAGTTGGCTTTCTTCATCCTCGAGGCTCGAAATGAGAGCCGTCCGCCGGTGTAAACCCCGCACTTTAAATTGTTGTCTCATAAAGGGTGAGCCACGCTTAATAGAGTATATCCTAAAGAGGCTATTCTCCAACCTAAGTGCATATGAAAGGTCTACATGTAACATTCAACAATCCACAACATTCCAAATAAGAACGTGCATTCAATGTTGGAATATAACAAGTCATGCCATGATATGAGATAAAACTCATTCATGCACTCTAACCCGAGCCCTCAGCGGCTCTAACCACACAATGCAACGCCAGTGTATGAAAAATGGACACTTTCAAGCCCCCACCATTGGTATTACACACTGAATGACAATTTTATATAAACAAAATCATGTGTCTTTGTTGGATAGCGAACTTTTGGTGTTGCACCGCGGGCTCTGCACATCGATACACTTTTTTAGACTTGCACTGACGAAAATGTATAAACCAGTAGCCGAGTCTTGCACCCGAGGGAGAGTCTAGCCCTTCTTTCTATACCCAACATAAATTTTTTCGTGCAACCGTGCGACTCAGCCAGAATTTCATTCTAACTTTTCCCGAGCCCACCCATTATCCACTAAGTATGGTGTTTGATTGAACCTTGTGCACATACACCTACACTCATGCCCAATGCCCATGAATGTGATGCCCACATCATACCCAATATGCGATGAATGCTAATTGAGCAATTTTACCATTCTATTGTCAATTATATCAAGAGCATATAATTTTCACAATTCATCATAATGCTAACATATCATAAAGCATATATTAACATCATACACAACAACAATTTCCAAACATGTTATCACATAAACATGTAATTAACACACTAAGTTCAACAAGACATAATGTAAACACATAACATGTCCACAATAACATTCTTACTAAGAAACTACAAATTAGTAATTTTCACATTTCTCAAGAAATTTCACTAAGTAATTTCTACATACCCAATTTAAGATAGAATTTATTTTACCCATTTTCAATACCCATTTTCCCAAATTACCACAATAGGCAAGTGATATATATAACTTTATCAACCTACCCATTCCATATAAACCTCCTAGGTTGAAAATAAACCTAAGTAGGAGGGAACCCTACCTCTTGAAGTGTAAACTCACTTGGTAGAAGCCTTCAAGAACACCAATCTTGCCCAAAACCCTTGATTTTTATAAGCTCATTCTTGGAACTTTGATGAAATCCATTCTTCTTGGTATGGTTTTGTAGCCCTCGCTGCGTAGAACAATCTTTGCTCTTGGCTTGAGTTGATTCGACTAACGAATCTCCGTAGATCGTAGAGAGAAGGTGGAGAACCTAAGCCTTTTTCCCTTACTTCTTTCTCATATTGGAATCGGCTGAAAAATGGAGAAAAATATGATATTTCTCCCCTTTTTATACTCCCTAAATACTTGGTTCATAATGCGCCACACAATCCTCTTTTTCAAGTTCATTTTTGCCCCGAAATGATTAAATTTTATTTTGATTAAAGTTCAAAATTTTATTCAAAAATTCGTGTTTGAGTGTCCCGAGGCCTGATCACCTCGTAAAATATAAAAAATTTGACTATTTCAAAATTCGACAAAAATTAACGTGATAGCTAGGATTTAGGGTTTAGGGTTTAGGGTTTTAGGGTTTTAGGATTTAGGGTTTAGGGTTTAGGGTTTAAGGGTTTTAGGGTTTAGGGTTTAGGGTTTTAGGGTTTAGGCTTTTAGGGTTGAGGGTTGAGGGTTGGGGGTTTAGGGTTGAGGGTTTTGGGGTTTAGGGTTGAGGGTTTTAGGGTTTAGGGTTTAGGGTTTAGGATTTTAGGGTTTTAGGGTTTTAGGGTTTAGGGTTGAGGGTTGAGGGTTGAGGGTTTAGGGTTTAGGGTTTAGGGTTTAGGGTTTAGGAGGAGGCAGTTATTTCATTCTAGAGAGAGAAGGTCTGACTTCTCTCTAAAAAACTTTTCATTTTTTTTTCTCAGATCTTCTTTGTTCTTTACTGTTTCTTCATTATTTCCTTGGTTTTCTTTGTAAATCCTAGTGGTTTTGATTGATTTAGCATGGATCTGGCCTAAGAATATCATCAAATTTCCCCAAAACCTCCAGACATCACCCAAAACTTTGCCTCTTTGTTTAAGAAACCTGTTCTGAAAGACATTTCTCTAACAATTCCTATTACTTCAGAATTTACTTCCTTAACAATTGTTGATCCTTTGGGAGGGAATAACACCATCTCTATGCCTCTTATTTGTAAAGTGAATCAAACCAAGCCGACTGTTCAACTGGCCTCTGTTCTTCCTGCGACGGTGTCGACTGCTACAAATGTTTATAGTTCTTCTTCTGGGTTAGGAAGTCAAGTTCCTATTGATTCTACAATTGATCGAAACACGAAAACACTTGTTATTAATCCTCAACCTTCTTTAATTCCTCAAGCCATTTTGGAATCTCATGAATCCTCGATGGATCGAAGTCTGCCTAAATCTCAAATCTCTGCTCCTGAGAAAGGAATTCAGATCCCAGTTGTTATTTCGAATACTCAAAATCTCTCTGGTCTTCATGTTCTTGCTTCTAATATTGTTTTTGGTTCTGTAAATTCCATGAACTCTTCCAAACCTGCTAAGAGGGTAGTCTTTAATAAAGGAGAACCCGGAATGTACTGGTCCCCTACTGAAACTTTGGAACTATCTAAAGGTTTTTGTCAAATACTTATTGGTAAATGTGCCTATGGTAAACCTTCTCTAGGTGTGGTGAAAGAATTTATCAAATCTAGGTGGCTGCTGAAAGGAGATTTCTCTGTAGGAGTATTAGATCAGAGGCATGTACTGATCAGATTTTCTCTCTATGAGGACTATGTTAAAGTGTGGCTGAAGGATACCACCTACATTGAGGGTTACCTTTTCAGGTTTTTCAAATGGTTTCCAGAGTTTTATTCTGGGATCGAGCCACCTATTGTACCTGTATGGGTGTCCTTACCTGGTCTTCCAATCCATTTATTTAACAGAGAGAGTCTGAGAGATATATTAAGTCCAATAGGCAGAATTCTGGTGATAGATAATGCCACTCTGAATCTCTCTAGGCCGGGTGTAGCCAGGGCCTGTGTTGAAATGAATCTTCTAGTCAATAATCCTAAGAGATTCTGGTTAGATATGGGGGGGCATTAGTGGCAGATGGCAGAGGATAGTGTATGAGAAAGAATACAGGTATTGTCCTGCTTGTCTAAAGCAGGGTCATGATGAAGTGTTGTGTAGAAGGAAGAAGAAAGTGGAAGTTGATATTTCTGAGAAGCAACAGGAGGATGGGAATAATCTCCCACAGAATGAGGAATGGAAGAAGAGAAAGGGAAAAACTGTTGCTATAGAAGGACAGAAAGTACAGTGTAGAAAGGAATACAGACAGAAACCTTTGCCTCAAACTACTGTTGTGGGAAATAGTTTCTTTGTGTTCAATGAGGAGATTGTTGTAGAAGAGCTGGAGATTGGGAAGGAAATGGATCAGAATGGTCAGGAAAAATTACCTGACAAGGTTGCTAATAATGAGGGATCTCCCTCTATTAAAGAAATGGGTACTGGACTTGTTGAAGTACAGGGGGATGCTGTTAGAATTGATACTGTAATTCTTGATAATCCTCAGGCAAATTCTGAATATGGTATTCAAGGAGAGGTAAATGCTGATATAGCTGATACCAGAATGAAGGGAATTCAACAAGAGAACAGTCCAATACTACTTAATGGTTCAAGATCTAGGAATCAAATTCCTATAACTACATCATCAGAGGGTGCAAATTTGGAGGTAAACTTCTTTTCCTCCCCTACGTTATTACCTCCTGTGAATAATGAGGAGGTTAATGTTGAAATTATTGGAGGAATGCTAACATCTGAAGTGGAAAATATAGTTTCTAATTTTGATGGTATTAACAATGACAATATGTTGGTTAAGGATAATATGGAGGTATTGGGAGAATGTATAAACCTTTATGCTCCATCAATGGGGTCCTCATTTCTTGTGGAACATGGATTTGCTGCTAGGCAAGGAAGCCAAAATTCTTTAGATGACCAGTCTGGTTTGGTTAGAATGAGAGAACCTCCAGATAAGGGTTACTACTCTGATCAGGCCAGTTCTAGAACTCAGAAGATTGTAAATGTTGATTCTGATAATTTTGGGAGTTCTTTTGATGAAAATGAGGATGGTAATGGATTTAGTTCCAGTGATGTTCCTTCTCCTATGAATTTATGATTAATTTTCTATCATGGAATATGAGAGGGGTAGGTAAAGATGCCAAGAGGAGGAGATGAAAGAAACTTATTAAATTGCATGATGTTTGTCTTGTTGCAATTCAAGAGCCTAAATTGTTGGTGTCCAAATTGGTTCCTTTTGCTAGGAGTATTGGTGTAGATCATTTTTGTTCCAATGCTCTAGCAGAAAGGAACATTTGGATATTATGGGATGAGAGAATCAAGCTAAGGGTCTTATTTGAACATGCTCAAGTTTTGACTGTGGAAATAACACTTATGAATTCCCATATTATTTGGGTTTCAGTTGTATATGCTAGTTGTGATCTTTTTATAAGAAGGTCCTTATGGTCTCACTTGTTGAATATTGATGTTCCTCCTGATGTTCCTTGGATGGTAGCTGGTGACTTTAATACCATTTTATCTTCTGCTGAAAGACTAGGAGGAGCATCTCCTTCTTTGTTATCCATGGAGGAATTTGGTGATTTCCTGGATCACAGGGGGATGATGGATGCTGGTTTTATTGGAAATAAATTTACTTGGTGTGATAATAGAGGTGGGGTCACAAGAATGAAGCAGAGACTGGATAGAGCTCTGATTAATGCTCATTGGAATCTGGAATTTGAAAGTATGGAAGTGGTGCATTTGGCAAGGGGTTCCTCTGATCATAGTCCTTTATTATTGAAAATTATGGACATTCCTGTACAGAAAAGAATCTCCTATTTTAGATTTCAAGATATGTGGTGTGATCATGAAGATTTCCTGGCTCTAATTACTTCTAACTGGAATGGGCAGTATTCAGATAACCCAGTGTCAAATGTGTTCATCAAAATGAAATATCTGAAGACTCATATGAGGATGTGGAATAAAGAGGTTTTTGGTAACCTTTTTGAAAAGTTGAAAGAGTTTGAACAAAAGACTAGTGGAATTGAAATGGAATTAGATTAGAACTTTTCTGATTCTAAAGCTTTAGAATTAGAAGTGGTTAAAGGTGAGATGGATGATTGGTTGAGAAGAGAGGAAATCTATTGGAAACAAAAATCAAATGTGAAATGGGCTATTCAAGGAGAGAGGAATACTAGATTTTATCACTCTATTGCTAAAAGTAGAGTTATCAGAAACAAAGTTTCAAGAATCAAGAATAAAGGAGTGTGGGTATATGGGGATAAACAGGTGGCTGATGTTGCTGAGGAATTCTATACTGATCTTTATAAGTCTGAGGAGCATATCATCAAAGAACACATATTTGATGTCATTCCAAAGCTTATCAGTAAAGAGGATAATGAGAGGCTTACTGCTAAAGCTACTATGGAGGAAGTGAAAGATGTTGTTTTCTCTATGGCTACAGAGAGTGCTCTTGGACCGGATGGTATGTCTGGTAAGTTTTTCCAATTTTCCTGGGATATCATTAAAGTTGATGTGGTCAAAGCTATTAATTTTTTGCTTAAAGGAGGTGTAATCCCCAGATCTGTGAATTCTACTTTATTAGTCTTGATTCCTAAGAAGGAGGGTCCTAGTACATTTTCAGACTTTAGACCTATAAGCCTATGTAACTTCCTGTATAAGATTTTTACAAAGCTTCTAAACACTAGATTATCTCCTCTGCTTCCTGCTTTAATATCTGAGGAGCAACATGGTTTTGTTAAAGGAAGAGGGATTAGTGATTGTGTGGCTTTGGGGCAACTGCTTGTTGGTGAATTGAACTGGAAGGTAGAGGGTGGCAATATGGTTATGAAACTAGATATCATGAAAACATATGACAGGATGGAATGGGATTTCTTGCTGAAAGCTCTGGCTAGTTTTGGTTTTTCTGATTTGTTCAATCAAATCATTTTGAATTGTTTGAATAGCCAATTCTTTACTATATGTTTAAATGGACAAAGATATGGTTACTTTGCTAATTCAAGAGGGCTAAGGCAGGGGGATCCTATTTCTCCCTCTTTATTCATCCTGGCTTAGGAAGTACTGAGTAGAGGGCTGAGGAGCATTTATAGTCAAAATTTGGTGAAACATTTTCATATTGGGAGAGGAACAACTATTGTGAGTCACCTATTGTTTGCTGATGATACTCTGATTTTTCTAAGGGGTAACAAAAAATCTGTATTGAATGTCATGCAATTTATTGCTATATATGAGTCAAGCTCTGGTCAAAAGGTTAATAAGTTGAAGAGTGCTGTTTTTTGTTCTAAGCTCATTTCCTTGTCTAGAAGGAATAGCTTGGTTGCTCAGGTGGGAATTCCTTTTAAAGAATGTCCTTTTACTTACCTGGGATGCCCCATTATCAGAGGAAGGATCAAGAAATGCTATTTTGAAGAGGTGGTGAACAGATTCAGGAAGAGAATTGAGGGTTGGTATGCCAAATTGTTATCTAGTATGGGAAGAATTGTACTGATACAATCAGTACTTAGTTCAATCCCTATTCACATATTGGCTTGCCTGAATATTCCAAAAGGTGTATTGAGTAAGCTGAATTCTCTGATTGCTAACTTCATTTGGTCAAATCAGATTGGATCTAAGAAAAGACACTGGGTTTCATTGAATGATGTCTCTAAACCTAAAACAGAAGGTGGCTTGGGGATTAGAAGTCTTGAGGAAATTCAAACAGCATTTAGAATCAAGCAGGTATGGGGTATTTTGAATGGTTCTTCTTTGTGGGCCAAGGTTTTTAAAGAAAAGTTTTTTTAGGGGAAGCATATGATTAGATGTGAAACTACTACTGCTGGTCTTTCTTTCAAAATACTACAACCACGGTTCAAGTTTACAGTATAGAATTCCTTGAAAATTGTTGGAAATGGACAGCATACTGATTTTTGGTGTGACTCATGGTTGAGTTCTGGTCCCTTATTTTTTAGAGTGGAGACTCCTCCATTGTTTTTCCCTAGGATTAATGAATTATGGAATGGTGTTGAATGGCAGCTGGAAAAGGTAGCTGAATGGCTTAATCCTCAGATATGCTCTGAGATTGAAAGTGTAGCTATTGTGAGGTCTGACACACATGATAAACTTATATGGAGGCATACCAACTCAGGCTGCTTTACTGTTAAATCTGCTTGGAATGAAATTAGGAAAAAGGGGTCGCATAATGATATAGTTCAAGGTATTTGGAAGTAGAAAATTTTTCCTAGTGCTCAGTTATGCACCTGGAAATTTTTTAAAAAACCNAATGATATAGTTCAAGGTATTTGGAAGCAGAAAATTTTTCCTAGTGCTCAGTTATGCACCTGGAAAATTTTTAAAAAAGCCTTGACTTCTGATGATAGAATTCAGAATGTAGGAGTGGCCATGGCTAGTAAATGTGTAATGTGTGGTACAGCTGGGGAGACTATAGCTCATCTTTTCATTGAATGCTCTTTAGCTCAATATGTTTGGAGGAAAATTGCTGCAATTATGGGGTTTGATATTTTGTCAGGTGACTCTCCTTTATGCAGATTTTTGAGATTGCTCAGAAGATTTAAAGTTCCTTCTCTCAGTCACAGTTTGATTAGAGGGGTTTCTATGTTAATCTTTTGGGCTCTGTGGAAGGAAAGATGCAGAAGGAAGTATGAGGGATTGTTTTTGAATGCACATGCAATTTTCCTACAAGTTGTTAGTACTTTGAAATGGCAGGCTTTTATTATCAGGCCTGGAGCTAATGATGATGGTAAGGGTCAGGAACTTTTGAGAGAGTTGAACATTAAAAATCCTTATTTCTTAATTACTAAGGTCAAATGGATTAGTTGGGAATTTCCTCCTATAAATGTCTTAAAGCTCAATGTTGATGGTGCCTCTAAAGGAAAGACTGGATTGTCAGGAGGAGGAGTGGTGTTAAGGAACCATGAAGGGATAGTGATGATAGCTGCTGCTTGCTTTTATGGAGTTGGATCAAATATGTTAGCTGAGTGCATGGCATTGTTTGATGGTTTATTGTTGATCATGCAGCATGGTTTATCAGATTCCCTGATTTTAGTGGAGTCTGATTCTCAAACTTTAGTTCAAATGGTGAAAGGAATAGCTGCAGTTCCATGGAAATTGCAATATTTGTTAAAGAGGATTAATTTGTTGTTTGGAATGATGAATTTGCAAATATCACATATTTACAGAGAAGCTAATGGAATTGCTGATTTCTTAGCTTCTTTTGCTGTTCAGACAAAGAAATACACTGAATTCTCTGACAGTAATATATTGCCAGTTGCTGGAAGGCTTATTCAGAGGCAAGATCAGACTGGTTTACCTAATATCAGATTGAAAAGGATACTTTGTGGTCAAAGGCAGGGAATAGGTTAATTGAATTCCTATTTAATTGAGTTGGAAATGTTGGACAGTTGGTAGTTGCATAACAGCTTCTAAAACAATTAGGGTTTAGGGTTTAGGGTTTAGGGTTTAGGGTTTAGGGTTTAGGGTTTAGGGTTTAGGGTTTAGGGTTTAGGGTTTAGGGTTTAGGGTTTAGAGAGGAGGCAGTTATTTCATTCTAGAGAGAGAAGGTCTGACTTCTCTCTAGAAACTTTATTTCTTTTTCCAGATCTTCTTGTTTTTCATCTGATTCTTCACTATATTGTTGTGAAATCTTTGATTCCTACTGTTGTATTGATTGATTTAGCATGGTTTTAGCCCTAGAACACAATCAAATTCCACCAAAACCTCCAGACATTACCAAAAACTTTGCCTCCTTGTTCAAGAAATCTGCTCCGATTGAAAATGTTCCAACAATCCCTATCACTTCAGAATTTAATTCCTTAACAATTGTAGATCCTTTGGGAGGGAATAACACCATCTCTATGCCTCTTATTTCTCAAGTGAATCAAACTAAGCCGACTGTTCGTCTGGCCTCTGTTCTTCCTGCGAATGTATCGACTGCTGTAAATGATCAGAGTTCTTCATCTGGGTTAGGATATCATGTTCCTATTGAATCTGTTATTGATCGAAACACACAGAGAGTGCTTATGAATCCTCCACCTTCTCTAATCCCCCAATCCATTCCTTTGGAAATTCTTGAATCCTCGATGGATCGAAATCTGAACAAATCTCAAATCCCTGCTTCTGATAAAGATACTCAGATTCCAATAGTCATTTCGAATTCTCAAATTCCTTCAGGTAGTCAAAATCCTGCGTCTAATATTGTTTTTGGTTCCTTAAATTTGGTGAATCCTCCTAAAACTGCAAAGAGGGTAGTCTTTAACAAAGGGGAGCCTGGGATGTATTGGTCCCCCAATGAAACCTTAGAACTTTCTAAAGGTTTTTGTCAAACTCTTATTGGCAAATGTGCCTATGGTAAACCTTCTCTGGGTGTGGTGAAAGAATTTATCAAGTCTCGATGGCTTCTGAAAGGGGATTTCTCTGTAGGTGTGTTAGATCAGAGGCATGTACTGATCAGATTTTCTCTCTATGAGGACTATGTTAAAGTGTGGCTGAAGGATACAACATACATTGAGGGTTATCTCTTCAGGTTTTTTAAATGGTTTCCAGAGTTTTATTCTGGGATTGAGCCACCTATTGTACCTGTATGGGTATCCTTACCTGGTCTTCCAATCCATTTATTTAACAGAGAAAGTCTGAGAGATATTTTAAGTCCAATAGGCAGGATTCTGGTGATAGATAATGCTACCCTTAGCCTTTCTAGACCTGGGGTAGCCAGGGCCTGTGTTGAGATGAATCTTCTTATCAACAATCCTAAGAGATTCTGGTTAGATATGGGAGGTGTTAGTGGCAGATGGCAAAAGATAGTGTATGAAAAAGAGTACAGGTATTGTCCTGCTTGTCTTAAGCAGGGGCATGATGAAGTGCAGTGTAGAAGGAAGAAGACAATGAANACAGGTACTGTCCTGCTTGTCTTAAGCAGGGGCATGATGAAGTGCAGTGTAGAAGGAAGAAGAAAGTGGAAGATGATATTTCTGATAAGAAGCAGGAGGCAGGGAATAATATTCCTCAGGATGAGGAGTGGAAGAAGAAAAAAGGTAAAGCTATGGCTACAGATGGTCTGAGAGGACAGTCTAGAAAGGAATATAGACAGAAATCTAACCCTCAAACTACTGCTGTGGGGAATAGTTTTTCTGTTTTAAATGAAAATATTGTTATAGAAGAGCAAGATATTGGGAAGGAAATGAATCTAAATGAACAGGAAATAATACCAGACAAGGTCACTAATAATGAAGGATCTCCTTCTATTCAGGAGATTGGTATTGGAGATGTTGAAATACAGGGGGAGGATGTTAGAAAGGATACTGTCATTCTGGAGAACCCTCAGGCAAGCTTTGAATGTGGTACTCAAGGAGTTGGCAATACTAATAATGCTGATATCAGATTGGAGGGAATACATCAAGAGAATAGTCCAGGAGTATCTATTGCTTCTGAAATTGGAAATCAAATTCCCATAAATACAGTCACTGTGGGGGCTACATTGGAGGTAAATTCTTTTTCCTCCTCTATTCCATTACTTCCTATTAATGAGGAGATCAATGTTGGAGTTCCTGTAATTGAGGTTGTTAATAATGACAATATGGTGGTTCATGAAAATATGGAGATTTTGGGAGAATGTAGGAATTTTTATGCTCCATCAATGGATTCATCTTTCCTTTTGGAACATGGATTTGTTGTTAGAAAAGGAAGCCAAAACTCTTTAGATGACCAGTCTGGTTTGGTTAGGATGAAAGAACCTCCAGATAAGGGTTATTTTTCAGATCAGGCTAGCTCTAGACCTCAGAGAATTGTAAATGTTGAATCTGATATTTCTGGGAGTTCTGTTGAAGAAGAGGATGAGGGTAATGGACTTAGTTCCAGTAAAGTTCCATCTTCTATGAATTTATGATTAATCTCCTATCATGGAATATGAGAGGGGCAGGTAAGGATTCCAAGAGGAGGAGATTAAAGAAGCTTATTAAATTGCATGATGTTTGTTTGGTTGCAGTTCAAGAGCCTAAACTACTGATTTCTAAATTGGTTCCTTTTGCTAGGAGTATTGGTTTAGAGCACTTCTGTTCTAATGCCCTTGCAGAAAGGAAAATTTGGATTTTATGGGATGAGAGAATCAAGTTGAGAATCTTGTTTGAGCATGATCAAGTATTGACTGTGGAAATAACTTTTCTGAATTCAATTATTTTTTGGATCTCAATTGTATATGCTAGTTGTGATCCTTTTGTAAGAAGGCTATTATGGGATCATTTGTTGGGAATTGATGTCCCCTCTGATGTCCCTTGGATGGTGGTTGGTGATTTCAATTCAATCCTTTCTTCTGATGAAAGATTGGGGGGAGCCCCTCCTTCTCTGCTGTCTATAGAGGATTTTGGTGATTTTGTAAATCATAGGGGTTTGCTGGATGCTGGTTTTGTGGGTAATAAATTCACCTGGTGTGATAACAGGAATGGGGGCATCAGAATGAAGCAGAGGTTGGACAGAGCTCTGATCAATGCTTGCTGGAATTTGAAATTTGATAGTATGGAAGTGGCTCATTTAGCAAGGGGCTCATCTGATCATAGCCCTTTATTGATGAAAATCATGGATGCTCCTGTACAGAAAAGAATTTCTTATTTTAGATTTCAAGACATGTGGTGTGATCATGAGGGATTTCTTGATCTGATTAAAGCAAATTGGGGAGGGCACTATTCAGAGAATCCAATGTCAAATTTGTTCATCAAGATGAAATATTTGAAGGCTCATATGAAGATGTGGAATAAAAATGTGTTTGGAAATCTCTTTGACAAATTGAGAAATCTGGAGCAAAAAATAAGTTTGTTGGAACAGGAGGTAGATCAGAGGTTTTCTGATTCACAAGACATAGAGTTAAAAGCTGCTAAGAATGAGATGGATGATTGGCTAAGAAGAGAAGAAACTTATTGGAAGCAAAAGTCAAATATAAAATGGGCTGTACAGGGGGAAAGGAATACCAGATTTTACCATTCTATTGCTAAAAGTAGAATGGTTAGAAATAAAGTCTCAAGAATCAAGAATAAAGAAGGGGTATGGGTATGTGGGAATAAGCAAGTGGCTGAGGTAGCTGAGGAATTTTATGTTGATCTTTACAAGTCTGAAAGGCATATCATCAATGAACAAATTTTTGTTGATGTTATTCCTAAGCTCATCAGTCAAGAGGATAATGAGAGGCTCACAGCTGAAGCCACTTTGGAGGAATTGAAAGATGTGGTCTTCTCAATGGCAGTTGAAAGTGCCCCTGGGCCTGATGGTATGTCTGGTATGTTTTTTCGATTTGCCTGGGATATTATTAAAATAGATGTGGGCAGAGCTGTTAACTTTTTGCTAGCAGGAGGTGCAATGCCTAAATCTGTGAATTCCACTTTGTTAGTATTGATTCCTAAGAAGGAAAATCCATGTTCATTTGCTGATTTCAGACCTATAAGCTTATGTAATTTCTTATATAAGATCTTTACAAAGCTTCTGAATACTAGACTTTCTTCCCTTCTTCCTGCTTTAATTTCTGAAGAACAACATGGCTTTGTACAAGGCAGAGGTATTGGAGATTGTGTGGCCTTGGGACAGTTGCTTGTTGGAGAATTAGACAGAAAGGTGGATGGTGGGAATATGGTTATGAAATTGGATATGATGAAAGCATATGACAGGATGGAATGGGATTTTTTGTTGAGGGTACTGGCTGGTTTTGGCTTTTCTGATTTGTTTAATCAAATTATTTTGAATTGTTTGAGTAGCCAATTCTTTACCATTTGCTTAAATGGCCAAAGATTTGGTTATTTTGCTAATTCAAGGGGGTTAAGACAGGGAGATCCTCTCTCCCCTTCCTTATTCATTCTGGCTGAGGAAGTGCTGAGTAGAGGGCTAAGAAGAATTTATCACCAGAATTTGGTGAAACATTTCCATATTGGGAGAGGAACAACAATTGTTAGCCATTTGCTATTTGCTGATGACACTCTGATTTTTCTAAGAGGTAATAAATCCTCTGTAGTGAATGTTTTGCAATTTATTGAGTTGTATGAATCATGCTCTGGACAGAAGGTTAACAAAATGAAAAGTGCTGTCTACTGCTCCAAGCTGATCTCTCTAGCTAGAAGAAATAGGCTGGCTGCTGTGATGGGGATTCCTTTGAAGAACTGTCCTTTTACCTATTTGGGATGTCCTCTTATCAGAGGTAGAGTTAAGAAATGTTACTTTGAAGAGGTGGTGAACAGCTTTAGAAGAAGACTTGAGGGTTGGTATGCCAGACTTCTCTCTGGAATGGGAAGAGTGGTATTGGTGCAGTCAGTACTTAGCTCAATTCCCATTCATATTTTGGCTTGTTTGAATATTCCAAAAGGTATTTTAAGTAAGCTGAACTCTCTTAT